CTTTTATGCTTTATACAATATGGAATTTCAGTGGAGGATGGCTATCTCCCACTGAATTTACACGATATTAAGAAAGATTTAAAGAAAATTTTAGGAAATTATAAAATACAATACCAAATAATAAATTATGATAATATTAAAAATGAATTATCATATTATAAAAAAAATAATAACAAAAGATATTATATAGGTTTCACCAAATAATTTAAATAAAACAATAAGGATTTTATTGGGTGTTGGTAATTTTAAATCCCTAATTATATAAAAATTATTAAATACAAATACAAAAACAGCTCAAGAAACTAGAGAATACTATAATATTACTTTGGAAGAAATATTTTATTCATATTTGGAATACACTAAAGGCTTTTATTTGAATATAGAAAAATCACTCCATAAAGATAATCAGATAAAGCAAATTGAAACGATAATCTGAAATTAAGAGAGATTGTCATGTTTTTAGTCCGCATAAATCCAAGTGTGGGAAAGACATGTTTTCATGATAATTTAATCGATGATGACAACGTAAACAGATAACTCATCTTTTGATAATAATCTAGGCAAAATAAATTGTTGTACAAAAATGCAACTTTTCCAGACGTGTTCGAGGTCACTTGTATAAAATCATGAACAAAGCAATTTAGCAGATTATTTTTAAATAACGCTGTTACAAAGTTGTCATTTTTTAGTTTTGTGATTCTAAGTCTTAAATTAATTAGACTATTTACATATTAATTTTTGGAACGCAACCAACTTTAGGGGATTTATTTTCTACCCCAGCTACTTATACCGTTAACTTTACTGTTGAGTTTTAAATTGGTAATCTGAAAATAGTTTAATGAAATACCTGGGCTGAGTATGTTTTGCGTGGCTGTGATAATTACAACCTAAACCTACCTACCTACCCAGCGTCATTTCTATCCAAACATTCCCTAATGTAAATTTTGAAAATTCTTGGTTGTAAGTTGCTGTAGGTATGTACGTTCTTTTTGGGAAAATCTTGTGAGAAATTACTGGATGACAAGTGCCAAGTCAAATAATAAACGTTTTTATAAACTGAATATAGGTAGGTATGCCCCTTTAATTATTCTATTAATTGCTATCATGTTTTATTGTTTTGGGCGTGAAAACAACGTTTCTTCTCTTAAAAATTACCGTTAAAAATTACCGGAAAGCAGACGACTTATATTTAACTTATAAACTTATAATACTATCAGAGATAACTTCGAGATGTGCAACTGTGTGTAAATTTTTACTCCTAACAACTTAGCTGGGCGATTGTAATCTCAAGTGAAAGCAGATGGCGCTGTTAGCGTCTTACCGCGAAGATTTTGAAATTTGATTGCTCTGATTGCGTTAATTTCTCTATCGTTTGCACTGAACATCAATATCTCACTTCGGTTCAACGTCATTGCAATTGAGCTCAACAGTGAAATGACTTTAAACGGAAGTAACATATCTGATGTTCAGTACACAAAAAAAAAATTATCGACCGAAAGAGCGTCGCGCGCCATCCTGGTCTAGATGGCGCTAACCATATTATCGTTTTGTTTATAAAATTTTATTATAAAAATGTGTAATCACAAAATAAAAAAACCTCAAATTTAGTAAGTTGTGTAACAAAAACAAATTATACTTTAAAAAACTTTAACGTTCACACCGTTACTACGAAACAATAATGACATTATTGGTTGCCTACCGTTGAATACAACAAACAATTTCTACAACGGGAAAAACGAGTTATAGCGTGTTTTGAGGGATGTTTATAGACCATACCAACGCTCGAGCATCGACCGTCTTTTATTTAATGAAAACGAATAACTAAAAATTGTACAATTTTGATTTTTTTCAAAAATTTCGAAGTCTAGGATAAAAATTCAAAACGGATTCATGTTTCAGTTCTTCGATTTTCTAAATTTTCCATTCAGTTTTTCGAATTTTCAATTATAATCGAAATAGTCCAAAATCGAAAAACCGAAAAATTAATAAAACTGATAAATCGAAAAATGTAAAATTTAATAGGCGAAAATTAAAAAATTAAAAACAGGAGATATAGAAAACTGTGACAATTTAAGAAACCAAAGAATTGAAGAATCAAAAAATTAAAAAATTGAAGAGTCGAAAAACTAAGATATCAAAAAATTGAAAAATCGGGAAATCGAAAACTCGAAAAATTGAAGAATCAAAAACCTGAAAAATCGAAAAATCGAAAAACTGAAAATCGAAAAACTTGAAAAACCGAAAATACGAAAACCGAAAAATCGAAAAACAAAGTATTTGAAACATCGAGAAACTGAGGAATGGAAAAACGGAAAAATAAAAAAAAATCGAAAATTCGATGAATCAAATACTCGAAAGAAAATCCGAGAAATCGGAAAATCGAAAATTCAAAAATTGAAAAATAAATCGAAAAACGAAATTTCCTAAATCGAAGAATCTAAATATCTAAAAACGGTAACAAAATTCTCAACACTGAAATTTAGAAAAAGTGAAAGTCGAAACAATGAAAAAAAAACAGTAGCCCAAGTGAAAAAAATCGAAAATTGAAACATCGAATTTTCAATTTGTTTCCTTTTCGATTTCTCGATTTCCAATACATATTTCAGTTCTTCGATATTTCAAATTTTCGATTTTTGATTTTTTGAATTTCGATTTTTCAAATTTTCCATTCTTCAGTTTTTAGATTTTCCAATTTGTTTGTTTTCCATTTTCAATGTTTCCATTCTTCCCTTTTTCGATTTTTCAATTATTTTACTCGAAACTGAAAAGTCGAGAAGACAAAAAATGGGAAATTGATAAATCTAAAAATCGAAATGGTCCAAAATCAAAAAATTAAAATCTGAATAAAAAAAATCGAAACCCCGAAATCTCGATAAATCGAAAAATGTAAAATTTAATACACGAAAATTAAAAAAAAAAGGAGAGATAGAAAAATCTAATGTTTGAATAAATAAAAAAATTGAATAATCGAATAATCGAGGAGTCGAGAAGGCCGAAACATCAAAAAATTGAGTAATGGGAAAATCAAAATATCGAAAAATCTACAAATCGAATGTCGGAAAATTGAAAATTTAGAAACGCCCAGCATTAAAAGATTGGCAATTAAAAAAATTTAAAAATCAAAAAATAAAAAAAACGAGAAATGAAAATTTTCAAAAAACGAGAAATTGAATCTAAAAATTGAAAAATCCCAAAAATCAAATACTGAAAAATTAAGTCATTGAAAAACTGGACACTCGGGAAATCGAAAAATCGAAAACTCGAAAAACTGAAGAATCAAAAACCTGAAAAATCGAAAAACGAAAAATCGAAAAGCAAAGTATTTGAAACATCGAGAACCTGAAGAATGGAAAAACGGAAAAAAAACGAAAATTCGATGAATCAAATATGTACTCGAAAAAACGAAAATCCGAGAAATCGGAAAACCGAAATTTCGAAAATCCAAAAATCGAAAAATAAATGGAAAAGCGAAATTTCAAAAATTGAAGAATCGAAATATCTAACAAAGCCAAAACGGTAAAAAAAATCTCCAAATTTTATAGAAATTTAGAAAAAATGAGAAGTCGAAACAATGAAAAAAAAAAACAGTAGCCCAAGTTAAAAAAAACTGAAAATTGAAACATGGAATTTTCGATTTGTTTCCTTTTCGATTTCTCGATTTTCAATACATATTTCAGTTCTTCGATATTTCAAATTTTCGATTTTTGATTTTTTGAATTTCGATTTTTCAAATTTCCCATTCTTCAGTTTTTAGATTTTTCAATTTGTTAGTTTTCCATTTTCAATTTTTCCAGTCTTTCGTTTTTCGATTTTTCAATTATTTTACTTATTGATTTTTCGATTTCTCGAGTTTTCGATACTGGAAATTGAAAAGTCGAGAAGACAAAAATTGGAAAATCGATAAATTTAAAAATCGAAATGGCCCAAAATCGAAAAATTAAAATCTGAATAAAAAAAATTGAAACGCCGAAATCTCGATAAATCGAGAAATCGAAAAATGTAAAATTTAATAGACGAACAATTAAAAAAAAGGCGAGATAGAAAAATCTAATAATTGAAGATATAAAAAAATTGACTAATCGAGGACTCGAGAAAGCCGAAACATCGAAAAATTGAGAAATGGGAAATTTAGAAACGCCCAGCATTAAAATATTGACAATTAAAAAAATTTAAAAATCGAAAAATAGAAAAAACGAGAAATGAAAAATTTCAAAAAACGAGAAATTGAATCTAAAAATTGAAAAATCCCAAAAGTGAAACATTGAAAAATTAAGTCATTGAAAAACTGGACAATCGAGGAATTGAAAAATCGAAAAATTGATAACATGAAACTTGGAAATAGAGAAATCGAAACATGGAAAACTTGAAAATTCTAAAATTTATAAAAACGAAAAATTGAACAGTTTAATGTTTTCAAAAAATCTCTTAAATCTAGCATAAAAATTCAAAACAAATCATGTTACTTTAAACCCTAAAGGATGTTTTTAAGCGCATGCGCTTTTGAACTTTCAAACTTAAATTGGAAAATGTTACATAATTTTGACTTTTTTTTTTTCAAAAAACTGGATGTCTAGGTAAAAACTCAAGATGGATTCATAAACCACAAGTGCAAGAGTACCTTATTTTTTCAAATTTAAAAAATATTTGCCAATGTAGACTTTGGAGATGACTTTATCTTATTGTTGGTGGGATGATTAAACGTCAGACAAACAGACGGAAACGAGGACATATTTTTTGTACTCTAGGAATCATGAAACGTCGAGAAAACATAAAAGTAGTTGAGAAGTAAAAATGACTTGTTTCATAGTTAATATTATCTTGCAAAAATTGCCCACATTTTATCTTCGGTCTTATCCATGCCGTACGCCAGCGCCGCCGCCGTGGGCTCGTTAATCACCCTCAAAACATTCAAACCAGAAATCTGCCCCGCATCCTTTGTGGCTTGACGTTGCGAATCGTTAAAATACGCCGGAACTGTAATAACAGCATTCTTTACTTACGTGTTCAAGTAGGATTCAGCTGTCTCCTTCATTTTCGTCAGTACGAGAGCCCCGATTTGACTCGGCGAGTACATTTTTCCGTCGCTTCCTTGCACCCACGCGTCCCCATTTGTCGCTTTCACGATTTTGTAAGACACATTATTCCTGTAAACAACATCTCACCACAGTGTAACAAACAACTGATAAAATTTACGTGTCTTTCTTGACTTCGTTGTCGTCGAATCTTCTCCCGATCAGACGCTTCATGGCATAAAACGTGTTGGCTGAGTTGGTGACGGCCTGTCTTTTTGCTGGCATGCCCACCAACCTCTCCCCGTCTTTACTAAACGCGACGATCGACGGAGTCGTTCGAGAACCCTCAGAATTTTCGATTACTTTCGCCTGTTTGCCTTCCATGACAGCAACGCAGGAGTTTGTGGTGCCCAAGTCGATGCCCTTGACGCCTTCGGATCTAAAACCATCGTTTAGTGGGTTTTCAATTCAAACAAGTGTGACTATACTTACTTGAAACGGGTTTGGATGTCATATTTGGGGTGTAGAGAAAACGAAGAGGTCTGAAAATGAGATTTTTTACAACGTGAATATCGACATCGCCGGCGACATAACCTCACTTTCGGGAAAAAAATTCAGAACGGAATTTGAGGGTTTAATTCGGGGTTGTCGGTGCAAATAGTGACTCGAGAGTAAAAATAGACAACTTTTCAAGTTTAAAGTGCAATGTTAGAGTGGGTAATTTTAACTTAAGGTTGTTTAATAGTTGAACTCACGTTGTTGGTTAAATGGCTGAAATTCCTTTTGCCGGTGATGTCGAAACTCAACTTGGAACACTCGACGGCTTTACGACTGAAAATACGGACCGCGGACAACATTTTTTTCGAAATTCGGGTGGAATTTGCCGACGAAAGAGCTGTGAGCACTTTGAACTTCACGTGCGTCGAAGTAGAAGCAGCTTGCAACACGAAAGGGTACAGCTGGTGGGAGTGCGCAGAACATTATTTTGGTTTGGTCTTCCAAATATCGTGTAAGCAGTGGCAGCGGCGATGAAAATTTAAAAAAATGCTGGATGTAATCCGAGGGGTATTCAAAATACTTAATAAAAATTAATAATTGGTGTTAATTTAAATATCAATTTTAAACGAATTTAAAGATTTGTTAATGCTGTATTATGATGTATGAGTTGAATAAAAGTGTTGTTTAAAACAGAAAATACCAACTAACGTCAAAATCACGTATTTACTTCCAGTCGCTAGAGGCTCTATAAACAGGGCCGCCGTAAGCGGGGGTGCAAGGCGTGCACCGCACGCGGGCGCTGCCAAAGGGGGGCGGCAAATTGACACGCAAAGCAGCACTTTTCAAAATTCCCAAAATAATATAAAAAAATGTACCACTCGAAAAAAGGGTTTATTGAGACTTTGGGAGAAAGCAAAGAAAGAAATATTGTTTAGGTCATCCAGTCATCGATAAATCAATAAACATCTGTTTTTTATAGTGCATGGTAAATGTTACATTTTCGGAAGCGGCCACTGACCCTTTTGGGTATCTTTACCTGGTTTGTAAATAGCACTGTAATTTTAGTACTTCTGTAACCGTCCTACATTAAACACCAAAACCGAACGCTGTCCATTATTTCAATTATAACAAACAAAGGTCCTTCGAGCAATATCAAGCTACAATTCGGAAGACCATACATGGTCGTATCAACCGGATTACAAAAAACGTTGGTACTACGATTCGGATTGTACGAAACATTGGCACTTCAAGCCGGAACGGTGAGCAAACTTGTAGATCGGTAAAGCGTAAAGGAATAAGTTTCCAGAATTGCGGGTGTTGTTTGTCGGAACGTCAAGGGGGATGTTAGCAATAAATGAAATTATTTTAGTAATTTACAGAAAGGTGTTAAAGAACATTGCTCCAAAAATTAGTTGGTGTCCGAGCTGGCAAATGCAACATAGTTGTTATTTGCACTTGTAGTTTGGACGATAAATTTATTTTATTTATACGTATCACATTTGCAAAATCTTTGATTTGCTGGAAATATCCGAAGATACTTCTTCATTGCAGTTATTTGTTCAAAGATAATTTGATTTGATAAGTATTCTGAATCAAATCAACATCTTAACTAAAATTATGCAGAATCCTAACATCAACATCAAAGTATATATCAATTTACTTAAAGATGTAATAGGTTACTTTACCAAATATCGTTCAGATGAAAGTTTTGCTAAAATTATAACTGAAGCAGACAAACTTGCCTATGAAATTAATGTTGAACCATTTTTTCCGCCAATCCAAACCGTGCGTCCAAGAAGACGAAACATTTTGATCACGAGCAGAATTACGAAGTTGTAGAACTAATTTAAAATTAATTGTAGAATTAATTTTTTTTTAACCAATTCTGAACCAAACTTTGTCTTCTTTAAATAATAGATTTGAGGAACTTGTTTCGTTTCATGCAGACTCGACCGATATCGGGTTTCGCCTCGGGTCGTACCGCCCTCAACCCTCGAGGGGCAATCTGGCCACTCGAGACATATGTGCCTTTAGTTCGTAGGAATAACTTGTAAAGAACGCTTGTTTTGTTACTGTCTCAATATATACGCTAATTTAAGTCAACTGCGTATTTCTTTACTGCGAACTCATACCGACGGATAGTAACAAACAAAAAATGGTCCTTCGAGTCGGATCGCGACGACGTGTGTAGTGAATTACTGGTGCCGAGCTTACGACGCGACGACGCCCAGGAAATACGACGGATCGAGCCCTCGGTGGTGACGACATCCTCATTTGAACTCCACACGGACATCGGCGCTATCCTCATCTACGCGTCAGACCAGGACGCCAAAACAGGGAACAACTGGTGCCGAGCTTACGACGCCACGACGCCCAGGAAGTTCAACGGATCGAGCCCTCTGCGGTGACGACTTCCTCTTCAGCAGTTTACACGGACATCGACGTCCGCCCCATCCACTCGTCCAACCAGGACGCGGCAGCAAAAGAAGTACTGGTGCCGAGCTTACGACGCCACGACGCCCAGGAAATTCAACGGATCGAGCCCTCTGCGGTGACGACATCCTCTTCAGCAGTTTACACGGACATCGACGTCCGCCCCACCACTCGTCCAACCAGGACGCGGCAGCAAAAGAAGTACTGGTGCCAAGCTTACGACGCCACGACGCCCAGGAAGTTCAACGGATCGAGCCCTCTGCGGTGACGACATCCTCTTCAGCAGTTTACACGGACATCGACGTCCGCCCCATCCACTCGTCCAACCAGGACGCGGCAGCAAAAGAAGTACTGGTGCCGAGCATTCAACGCCACGACGCCCAGAACGCCCGACGGATCGAGCCCCCCGTGGTGACGACATCTCTGCGGAAGCTGCACATAATCACTGAAGCCACCCTTGTCCACGCGCCAAACCACAGGACGCCACAACAAAGGACAGGTCGGTGGTCATTATTCTTCCTGTCTTCACACTTTTTCATTTGTCTCCTTTGACGTACTCACCTCTTCCAAAATGACGGAAGCCAGTTTAAAAACAAAAAAAAGACAAATACGTACGACTACCACGAATTTTGATAAATTTTTGAATACGATCAAATCTGCCGATCAAGTTAGGGTATTGTGTTTACGTTATGACAATTTTAAACCGCTATTAAAACAGTTTATTGAAGCACAAGATCAACTTGAATTATTAACAATTGAAAATGATGCCGATCCCGCCGAGCCAGACGAAAACGAGCGATTTGAATATGAAAACCGTTACTACGAATTATGTTCAAAGGCGGAAGAATTAATCGATAAGTTTACAATTAAGGCATCTAGTAGTTCTACCGATATTAAATTGCCCACTATCGAGTTACCTCATTTTGACGGGGAATATACAAGTTGGACGGCCTTTTACGATAGTTTCCGTACCCTTATTCATGAAAACACCAACTTAGAAAAAATCCAAAAATTGCATTATTTGCGTTCCTGCCTTGGGGACGAACCAAAACGAATTATTGATAATCTATCTATATCCGCTCAAAGTTATGACACTGCTTGGCGATTACTCAAAGAGCGTTATCATAGTAAGCGCTTAATTGTTCACAATCACATCCACGGCCTTTTTAATTTAACACAAGTTAACAAATCTCCAAATTCATTGCGGACGCTTTTAGATCAGTTAAATGCAAATTTAGAGTCGCTAAAAGCTCAAAATTTAGATGTAACTAATTGGGATCCAGTTCTTATTTATTTGGTGTCCACAAAATTTGACTTTGCGACAAAACGGGAATGGGAATCAAAATTAAAAAACAATGAACTGCCAACGCTGAAGGAAATGACGACCTTCATATCACAGCGTTGCCAAACACTTGAATCAATGGAATTTTGCAACTCTTTCGAAGTAAATTCGGAAAACCCGCGGTACCACGTTACAAAATCTAAGTTTCCCGAAGTTAAACGTAAATTAACGATATGTCCAAAGTGTAAACAATCATCCCATTCTTTCGTACAACAATGTACCGCTTTTTTACAACTTAGCATCCAAGACCGTATTAACGAAGTAAAAAGGCTAAAACTTTGCTTAAATTGCTTACGCGATGGCCACGATGCTAGATCATGCACCTCCCGGTATTGTAGAACGTGTAATGGCAGGCACCACACGTTACTACACTTACAAAAAGGGGAACCGCAAGGTGTAAATAACCATTGCTGTTCGACGGAACTTAAGTCACTCACGTTGCTTTCCACAGCCGTAATTAAAATTAGGGACGGTAATGGCCAGCTTCACAAAGTTAGAGCGCTTTTGGACATCGGTAGTGATAGTAATTTTATCACCGATAAATTATGTCGACTGCTAAAACTAAATTTAAATAAATGTCAGATGTCTATTGCGGGTATAGGGCAAACTAGTACTACCCTCACTCGGGCTGCAAAGGTCTTTATTAAATCAATTTGTGACAATTATTCGAACACAATCAGCTGTTTGGTACTGCCAGAAATCACCAATAATTTACCAGTCGAAACATTTGACCCTACACCATTGCGAATACCGGATAATTTAACTTTGGCGGACCCTGAATTTTATACAGGGTGTCCCAGAATTCGCGCCATTCCCGTGAATGACATGTTCCCTGTCCCGAACTGTGCCGTAATTCGCAAAAAGAATTTTCCAGGCTTTAACCGTGTGAGAACTGGAAGGCGATTAAGTTGACCAATAGAGAGGCTGCTTTTATATCCGAACGTTTCTATGTTCAAAGTTATCTATGCCAAGAACAAAAAATCGGGTAATACTAAAGTTGAATGAATTTTTTCCGAATCCCCCTCCGTCAACAAGAGGAAACAGAAGTGTGGTTATAAATTTAATCATTTTGACAATTGTTTGTCATAAACTGTCACGAAGTTTATCACTGACCTGAAGAGACGCTTCTGCGCCAAAGATGACTGATTAATGTACACAGAGACATCAAGGTTTACTTTAAGGCAAGTAGCATGGGACAGAAGTTATTTCTGCTGCCATTCTGGTTAAATTGTGTTTAACTGCGCTGTACATGTCATAAGAGAAGCTGTTTCATTTCATCGTAGGCAAATAATACATTTATTACTATTCTACATAGAGTAGCTACCGAAGAGCAGGTATTAGAAGTCATTTTCTTAGAGCCCCGTGAATAATCGTCGGCACCCAGACCAACATGTGTTTCACCGATTGTTACATCGAGCAAGAGAAGATGGATCTTTTCAACCTAGTCGGAAAGGCCGTGCTGGGGCTCCACGGAATGTACGTGTAGGTGCTGAAGAGCAAGTGTTAGAAAACATGGAAGCGGATCCTAGGAGAAGTGTCCTCTACGTAGCGCAAATGAGTGGATGCTCAAGATCGACCACTCATCGTATCCTTCAAGAGAGAAGACTGCATCCTTACCATTACACGAGAGTGCAGCATCTGCGACCAACCGACTACCCGCGACGAGTACATTTTGCTCAATGGTTACTGCGACAAAATGAACTAAATCCTGATTTTACA